GCAGTCCTTTTTTTTTAAATATATTTTTATTGATTTTAGAGAGGAAGAGGGGGGGAGAGATGATTTCAGCGAGGAAGGCAGAGGGAGAGAGAGAGAGAAACATCCACGATAAGAGAGAATCACAGACCGGCCTCCTCCTGCACGCCCCCGACTGGGGACCGAGCCTGCAACCCCGGGCCTGTGCCCTGGACCGGGAATCGAACCCGGGACCCTCCAGTCCGCAGGCGGATGCTCTGTCCAGTGGGCCACACTGTCTAGAGCCCAGTGATCTTTAAATAGAATGAGATGCACGTGTTTTCCCTTTATCGTATTATTATTATTTTATTTATATAATAATACAGAATATCGTATTTTAAAACATTATTGGTAAATGCAATATTATAACGCGGTACATTGTGGGGCATAATATTCATCGGCTATTATAGAAAACTGTTAATGTAGCATTAGAATGTATTAAAATTATATTGGGATTATTATATACATCATTATTACAATATCACTAAGGAATACTATACATTATAATATGAGGACATATGCGATTAGAAAATAGATTACTTCTAATCTATTAGCATAAGAATAGAAAAGGCAGTAATATAATTATAATCTGATATGCTATTCGGCTGCAATTATGTATATATATTTACTTAAAATTATAATAGTCTCACTAAGGACTCTAGCTGGTGTGGCTCAGTGGATAGAGCATCGGCCTGTGGACTGAAGGGTCCCGGGTTCGATTCCCGGTCAAGGACACATCCCCAGTAGGGGGCGTGCAGGAGGCAGCCGGTCCATGATTCTCTCTCATCATGGATGTTTCTCTCTCTCTCCCTCTTCCTTCCTCTCTGAAATCAATTTAAAAAATATATTTTATTTAAAAAAATGTTTTTTAATGGGAAAAAAACCCGATATTTCCTAGAATTGAACACATTCAGCGAGAGGTGTGGTTTTTTTTCATCTTTTCGCCCACCTCCCTCCAACCCAGCGGCCTCCCTGCAAGGCGATTAGATTTTCCTCTCTGGAGTGTAGCCGGCCTGGTATGATAGACAGTTGTTCTGATGGAGGAAGAGAGAGAAAACGTGCTTCCTTCCACTCTCCGATTTGGAGTCAGGAAAAAAATTAAAAAAACAGAAATGGTCTCACAAAAAAATCCAGGCCCGGCCAGGAGGAACCCCGATGGGGTTCCCTGGGACCCCGCTTTGAGAACCAGGGCTGCCAACGCCGCCGACAGGACGTTCCCGGATGAGGTTTTACTCGACACCGTCCCCCAGTGTTTGCACAGCCCGGCGCTTTGTGCCTGGCGCTTGTCATCTATCTATCTATAATCTATCTATCTATCTATCTATCATCTATCTATCTATCATTTATCTATCTCTATCATCTATCTATCTATCATCTATCCTATCTATCTATCTATCCTTTATCTATCTCTATCATCTATCTATCTATCTATCTATCTATCTATCTATCTATCTATCTATCTATCATCTCCAAAGCTTTCTGGGAAAGGATGTGGCTACATTATCTACCTTATATATCTATATCTATCATCTATATCAGTAGTTCTCAACCTTCCTGAGGCCGCGACCCTTGAATACAGCTCCTCATGCTGTGGGGACCCCCGACCATAACATTATTCTCGTTGCTTCATCGCTATATCTATATCATTTATATCTATATCTATATCATCTATATCTATTATATCTACATCTATATCTATCTATATATCTATATTATGTCTATATCTATGTCTATATCTATATCATCTATATATCTATGTCTATATCTATATCTATATCTATATCTATATCTATATCATCTATATCTATATCTATATAGATACCAGGCCTGTGGCCTAAGTTCCTCCCATAATGGCCACTGGGGGGCAGTATTGCCCCGAGGATAATTGAATCCCAGAGACCAGTGATTTCTAAAGAGAAGGAGCTCATGGGTTTGTTTTTATGGGTTTTGTTTGTTTTTTAAAAATGTTTTTATTGGTGTCAGAGAGGGAGAAGGAGAGAGAAACATCCACGATGAGAGAGAATCATTGATAGGCTGCCTCCTGCATGCCCCACACTGGGGATCGGGCCGCAACCCGTGCATGTGCCCTGACTAGGCATGGAACTGT